AACATTAACTGCAACTTCATTCTCTACACGTGCGCACACACACACAGACACGCAGGCAGGCTGTCCACGTTATAGACACCCACTAATGCACAAATGTGCTGAGCGCTTAGTAAAGTTTGGCTGAGAGTTCAGGTGCCATGAAATTTAAGCACAACCCTGAGTCTCTGTCAGCCGAGCTGCAAAGACAAAGACACAAAATAAAAATGTCTCTGTCGATGATAGAAAAATAATATTATGACATATACACTGCACTTAGGCTCATTGGTAGACCCAAATGTGCAAAGAGAAGGAAGTGTTTGAAATGTTAAGACTAAAACAACTAGAAATGATGTAATGCAGTGTCGATGGAAAAACAACAACTACATTTTGTTGCATTTGCAAGAGCCTTTCGAAGCCAGTATTGAAATAAAATTGATGGGAAGACAGTTAGAAATCTGAATACAAAAAGATACAGCTTTATAAGCTGGAAGTAGACATATGTGTCCTATGTTTGACTTGAAGCAAGTGTAGGTAACGAAAAGGCAGCTTCAACCCCATTTCAGCGATGTTGTATGAAGCGCTAAATGGAAGAAAATCTATTTGGGTTCAGGATCACACAACAAGTGTGACAAAGCTCTTAAAAGGCATCCAATTCTGTTCTTTCCCATCAGTGCTGCAGTCTACTACCACTCACACAAAAAGTTCTACAACACTCTTGGATGTTGTTCTGAGCAGGACTAATGCCAGGACGCTGACAAAGAATGCATGGGCTGAATCATGTGCGGTGGTGCCTCACCACAGACTATTATCAATCAGCTGGATGTGATATCAACAAAGTTTAACATAATACCATATACGCTAACAATAAAATCAAGACAGTACTGTGCTTCTTTCTTACACATGTTGATGTGATTGATTATGGTGAGCAAGTATATATGTTGCATTAGTGCTCAACCATTAACTGATAAGTCAATCAACAGAAAGTGAGTGCAATCTATCAAGAGTAGGAGCTGCATTCACATGATACCCGATTTGCTCTTTACTCAACGCGAAGTTGGGTGCAGAGCATTGCGGTGAAAACAGCTAGTTAGCTTGTGCAGCTACATACAGCTGTCATCTGATTGTTTGCGAGTCGAAAAGGTCAGTGGCAATCAAGGTCAAAGTGGAAATTATTTTAATAACTTCTACCGGTGCGCAGCACCGAGGGTAGCGCTTCCCCCCTAGTCAGGCTCTCTCCATAGGAAACCGACACATCGTAGCAGAGCTGTTTTACCGCTTTTCATGTGAATGTAGCAACAAAACACTGCACCCTCTACGGCAAGAGTGATTAAACACATTTTATGGTTATATAAGTACACAACCATAAAATCATAAAAGTAACAATCATTGTGTAAACAAACTAGAAAGAAAAGCTAGCAAGAAAAGAAAATTCAGGATTTGACTGAAGAGAGCTACAGGATACAGCAAACAAAGTGTTTTTCTCACATTCTCATTTTTTAGACTATTCATTTTTTTTTTTTTACTTAATTGAGAAATAACCTACTTTTTGCAAACGCAGTACTGATTATTAAGCATTCTTATTTTTCCATAAAGGCAGGGCGGTCACATTATTCACGTTTTGTATCTACTTGTTTGTAAAGCGCTTAGAGCACCAGGAAAAGCGCTATATAAATAACATGTATTATTATTAGTATTATAATTCTGAGGTGCTGCCAATATTGGGAAACCGGCAGTGCCGTTTAGTATGTAAACTACTTACATCCGAAGGAATTTCACAACTTAAACTAACATTAATGCACACCAAACATAGGTTTTCCATTAACAGAATCAGTAGCATTGTCCAGTATGTGATACAAGACGACAAATAAACTAATTAATCATTTATAAACTGATCATGTTGCAGTGCATTTAACTATGGCAGTGTGGCTCTAACAGTGGATTCCTGCCAATGGCAACGGAATAAAGTCATCTGCTGTCTTTTAACTGTCATCTCTTAACTTTTCCTTTGTGATTTTGTTTTTATTAGCCGTTTGTAACTTAGTGGTCATGTCCCAAAAAGGGATTTATGCCAACTATAAAACTATATTAAGTATATGAGACAGCCCACTTAGACCACCTGGGAAACCAACAGACTACCACAACTTCCCAGGTTCCATTCCAGCCTTGGGCCATTTGTGGCATGTCGTACCCCTCCTTGTCTCCCCACTCGTCTCTGTTTCTACACTGTCAAAGACGGGCAAAAAAAAAGGCACACAAAAAATCATCAGGTTGTGACAGAAACTCACTCTTACTTGGATTCTACGACTGGTATGGCCATTTTTCAAATAGTTTAAAAAACAAGCGATTATTTCATGAATATTGCGCATACATTTTCCATGCATTATTCAACACAAGCAGAAAGAAAGTTCTCTTGACAACTTCCAATCCTTCCAAAGGCCCATGCTTGTAATTTGATAACGTTCAGTAAACCTATGCTGATTCTGTTCTGTCAGTAAACAAACGGCCAGTGACGCTCTCTAGTGGAAACTTTGAAATTCACATTACAGGCACATTAATTAACATTTCGTTGAAAAATATATATTTGTTGTAGTACTACGACAGACAAAACTACAACTACCGTAGTCGTTTTATGTTTTGAAACGTTTATGAACTTGGACATACTTTCTTTGAGTGAAAGGAACACATTATTAAATTAAATATAGGTCTCACAGAGAGATGGATTTTTATTGTTTTATGTTACGGAGTCAGTTTCGAGACTTCATGAATGTGTTACTGTCACAATTGCTTAGCATTTGAGCTAAATGGAACTACTAAATGAAAAGTATATTATGTGAAACCATAATAGAGCATCAGAGACAGGAAAGAGAGACTATTTCCTGTACCTGTGTCACTTGGGTTTCAACACATTTGCAGTGGACTAACAGCAGGTGAACGAGAGCACAGATTATAACTGATTGTTTTCCCAGAGAGTCAACGTAAATATAGGGCGCATTTTTCACAAGCCCCGTATATTCTGAGCATTCTGACACTTAGGTGGCGTTTTTATGTATGCCAAATTAGATGAAATTAAACTTAGTTTGAGACTAACAGATTTTTCTATCTCAGCAGTACTGAGCGTTTATCATCAGTGAAACTGTGTCAACATTTTAAGCTAACTGACTCTCGCTAACACCCTAGCTAACTAATATTCGTAATTCTAAAGTTTGTTTGATAGGTAAATATCCAAATAAAATAAATATATATTAGACCACATCTATTTAGGAGACAGGAAGTGTACATGTGCATTGGCGCTAAATATAATGCACTATCTTTAGTTATAGAACCTCTTTAATAGCATTTGAATCATTTAGCTAATACCATCCGTTTAGCATTCACAGTAGGTAATACTAGCATTAGCAATATACCTTTGCTTTCAATTGTAGTGGCATTGGCCACAGTTCAATTACATAATCTGACTTTAACAAGAATACTGTACAGTGAAAAAGATCAACAGCTTTATAAGGAAGCATAGAAAGATAGCGGCCCCATGTCTCTAACAGTCAGATGTTACGGAGTTGAACTTTTTGTACGGGAAGGGAATGATTTTCTAAAGGCATCTGCATAGGCTCTGGCTACTCAAGAAATGAACGCATTGTTAGCGTGTGTTCACATCAAACGCTAAGACGTGTGTTTGTGCCTGTGAAAGACATCATTGGTTGTAGTGTGGGCACCTTTCATCAATAATAAAAATAGCCAGTTGGTTTATATAAACCAAACTTTTGATCCGTCTATCACAATAAATTGTAGCAAACTAGATTGATACAGCCATATGAAGTAAGGCAAGGAAAATATTATCTTCTTGTTTAGTGTGAACACAGCATTATAGCAGCATTTTGGTTATTTGGCTAGCTTGAATGTCACAGGGCACTTGTGTATATATAAATCAGTGTGACAAAATGTGGGATTAGTGGGTACTGCAGACCCGCTGTTATCACAAAGTGGAAGCAAGGGAATCAAAACCCAAGATAAAATACTAATTTCTGGTTCTACAAAAAAAAAAGGTAACATTCCACTGCAAAAAAGACCAAGCTTGCTGACTCTTTTTCTCATTACTAAAACTGTCTCACTACCCTGGTATAACAAACATAATGTGACACAATTATATGACTTTGTTGCTAACAATAACACTTTCTTTCAACAAGGATATTTGCCACATTATTTACTCATAAACCTCTATACTTTTTTGCGTGACTAGCCACAATTCTTGAAACTAACAGAAGTAGGAAACACCTCTATGTGACTCATCGGTAAAACGTATGATCACAGGGCTTGCAGTCCATCATCAGTCCACTAGTCCTTGCACAAACTAGAGATAGAAAGTCTGTTTATTATAGCCACTGCAGAATCTCTCTTCACATTTTCATATGCATAGTTCTACACAACCCTTAAAGCTACTATGTGTATCTTTGAAATTGTCCAACTTTGGCGAAACACATAAACTCCTCCAATTTCCACCAGGACACGACCTAAGCCATTAGCAAAAATGTGAAAGATGCTACACATGTTACACACAGTAGCTTTAAACTACTCCTTACATGTACTGGCTACCGTGTTTTTCTAGACTATAATTAACTAGACCATGAGTAGGAGGTCCTATGAACAAATGGAGGTGTATTTTGCTTAAGTTATTTATAATGTATACTGCAGAGGCCTTATTCAACTTGCTTTTGGTAGTGCTTTTCTCTATTTGTTTCAGTACATGATATTGTACCCGATCAGTGTACAATGGAAGGCCTGACGATTGACTAAATGAAAAGACAAAGTTGCAGTCACGATCGACGACCGCTTTTTCTTAAAGGCCAGGTGATCGCAGGATGTCCCATGTCGCAAATTGTCGCAAATTGTGATGTCACTATGTTACTGAAGTAAACAAAAGAGTCCAATGGAGGCGTTTCAGAGAGGGGTGGGGGGGGGGGGGGGGGGGGGGGGGTGGGGGGGGAGTGTGTGGGAGAGAATCTCCCTCTGGAGGGAACACATGGATGTTAGCCTTTGCAGACCATTTACACGAACAAAAACCTATAGAACACACTACAGGAGAGGAAAACCCCCAAAAGCATTATAGGGCCTCTCTAAGGTTTGTCAGACATAAAGCTCTAGCCCACTTGGAGATCAGTGTTATCCTGCTACATATTTCTTAACACATCCCTGACTCAACTGATGAGATAAGTGTTCACTTTCAGATATAATGTAGAGCACAGATTCTCAAACTTTACATTTCATTTGATAAAGGCTTTTGCTTTGTCCACCCACATCAGAGAAGATGTAATTGTTCTCTCACGACACATTGTAGAATGAGAGTGAAATGGAAGCTAGAACAGGAAGTGCTGTACTCAGTGAGCCAGTTAAAGATGTAGCTGCAGCTCACCTTGAAGATGGATGTGCAATGTGCAGACTGGAGGAAGCTCAAATAAAAAGTATCAGCTCAGTTCAATCAACCCTCTGCATGTAACACAGATTCAAACCACATGAATGACATGCAGAACTTTGAACTACACTCATTAATAACTGAATAATATCAAGTCAAACTACAGGTTAAACACTCAGGACTTTGTGTTGGCTGTAGATGTTTTCAAAGACTCCCCTGTGTTTTCATGCTAAGAGTGCAGAGGTGGGGAATGATCTTTAGGGCTTCACTGCACAGTCTGGTATAAGTAACCTCTTTTATAGGCGCTGAGAGGGTAGAAGGTGGCCACCACCAGCTTCCCATCAAAGGTGCGGCCCGTCAGCAGCCTCTGAGCCTCCTTGGAGTCAGATGAGTTGGCGTATTCCACGAACACCTGATGGAGAGACACAGAATAGTAGGTGAATGACTGAACATGTGATGAGACTGAATCACTTTCTGACCGCTGTCATGGCTTTGTTTCAAATTAAAGTCCACTGGAAGAGTATCAGAGGCAGAGTCATTTCAAGCCAAAGCTGCATTTTATATGGTGTCATTTGTTATAAAATGTAGTTTGGATTTTTGTTCTTGGGTTGTATCATGTACTCAGTCTTAGTTACTGTATTACATACAGTAGATGTACGTACCGTTTGGAGAAACAGACAGGAATATTAGAAGGAAGTTCATCAATGTACTGCTGATGTAGGCATCAGCAAACGTATTTTAGACACCTTTGATTTGTTACTTTGTTTGTGTTATTGTGGTAGATTGTTAACTTGCTTGTTCTTTTAGGTAAAAATGTGTAATCTTTTGTTTAAAGGAATCTAGAGGCTTGGAAGAGAAGTTTTTAACAGCTTCAGTTTCCCTTATATTCTAAATAAAACGTAAAGCTAAACTAATATTAATGTTTGTACGTGTCTAAAATACGCCCATTTGACTATAGAAAAGAACTCCATACAACTGAATATATTTGTCTTTATCTTTCTCTCTTCACACAAACAAGAATAATTTGTTTCCCTGTATTTTGAGAAAACGACACTAACAAATTAATTTTGTCATTAAGTATCACTTTCAAGTAAAGCATCCATAACTGAAGCATTTCTTAACAATCAGCAGTGAATTGGAGAGAATCATTTCCAGCACCAACGTGCAGTGACATGCAGTTGCACCCAGTGGACAGAGTTAAGTGATCACAGGAGAGAACACTAGGCTCATCTCAATTGAATATTTCACCTCCTCCTTTCCCTCACTCGCGTCCCTTCCTTTCGTCTTAGCTCCGCCTCCGTAAGACGCGAGCGAGAGACACGAGGAAAACAGAGGAGTCCTCAGGTATTAATTGGGATGTCCTCGTTCACTCCAGCGTCACCATAAACAACGCCCTTTACTTCTGGTGCGTGCAGTTTTATCCCCTGACACTGGACTCCCTCCACATCAATCCCTTCAAAACTGGGATTTAGTTTCACATTGAAATTATTTCGTCAATCTCTTCCATTCATCTCTTTTATTATAGTTTTCTATGTATTATTTTCGGTCCTGTATTGGTTTTTCCAGGTATAACATTTCATTTAAGTTATAATTATAATCATAACAATAATAATAATAATTGATGGATTCATTTCATTATGGTATTTGAGCTTGTTTCAGATCAACTTTTGTATTGGATGCTGTTATTTAATTTGTCCTACAGAAGAGAGACACAAATCACTCAAATATTTATTAGTTATGCTTCCCGTATTTGTATATATCCTAAATGTTTGACGTTCTGGGGGTCTACCACACATGCATCAAAAACCACAAGTACTGTAAGAACTGTAGGCTAAGTTATTATTTTATAATCAAAACATTATTATTGAATTTGTAAGTATATTTCACACACTTTAATGTTTTTATAGAGTATGATCTCCTCATTCGTTTAAGAGATGTAATATATTTTACTCTTAATGAAGCACTTTAAACATTTAATGACTCTGATCCTCCTTTAACGGTAAGATCAGCTGCAGTGAGCAGAGGCTGTGCAGCTGGGGGCGGAGCTCTGATGCGCAAGTAGTGAAAACACTTCCGCGTAGTCTGCTCTCGTGTATCCTCCCTTTCGTCTCCTCTGGAAGCCTCCTCCCTCACCCCTCCTCCCTCACCCCTCCTCGACTCCTCCGTGTGCATTTCAGCGATTGGGACGTCCTTCAACATGGCGTGTCTTGATCGATTTCCGGGTCAAGTCCCGGAGGAGGGGGAGAGAGGAGTCGAGGAGGGACATTGAGATGAACCTACTGTGTCAGTGTAGTAAGGGTACTGCAAATACTGAAGTCAATAAACAGAAGTAAACTGCTAAAAGTCATCTTTATCATACTCAACTACTAATAAGGGGTATATTGCACCCCTTTCCTCATACTTGACCTAAAAAAAGTTTTCATAAAAGTTGGTATACTAGGACCTCATGAGGTCAGTAAATATGGAAAGAATGGATGATAGAAATAAGGCTGTAGTAAATGTTTTTTCTTTCTCCCTCCTAGCAAACTCCATTTTCAGTTTGATTTGAATTATCTTTGAAGATCATGGGACAGATCGGTCTCACCTGTCCTTTTCCTGGGTTCTCTTTGGGGATGAGCATAGACACCACGGAGCCGTACTTCTGGCACTCCTCTTTCATGTCCTCCAGGATTTCTGGGAGAAACAATGACAGATAATTGGACATACTTTCACTCGTGCTCACTTGGAAGAATCGGGAAATCAACGTCAAAATGAATTTAGTTAAATTAAAGTGGACCTATCATGCTATATTTGAATAATATAGTGTAGGACCATACCTATATAAAGGCATATTTATACTTTTGTTTTTTCAAAATACCAAACAGATCATGCATTTTAGCCATGCCTCATTTTGCTCAATTTGACAATTTCTAGCTCTGTTTGTGCAAGGGCTGATTCTGTGAGAACAGCACCATCTACTGGCCTGGCATATGTACTATAGCGTCTCCAGCGCTTTCGAATGGCAATGGCCGTGGCTGTCTCCTCCTGATTGGTGGAGTTGGCCCAATAGCCGTAGCGCCACCGTCCTGACGTCAGGACAGTGTTCAAATCTGGATCAGTTTTTATCAGATCCGTTGCAGCCCCTTTTTTAGAGATTTGGGTATGGAGGAAAATAGAGAGGGTTGTGTTTTCTGACACTTGGTGAGTTCCCTGGAACACCGGGGACACATATTCATGTATAAAAGACGTACAAAAGTGCATTTTGCATGATAGGTCCCCTTTAAGTTTAGGAAAGAAATGGTGTACCTTCATACTCTTCTTCATTGTGCAGATGGCTGTCATCAATCAGGTTGAGGAGGCGCAGGACAGGAGTGGGCAGCAGGACCAGGTCCTCAATGTGAGGAGCTGACACACACATTCACACACACAGGTAAATATCACATGTTACTCTTGGAGGATGTTTTATATATTTCAACATACCGAAGGGAATACTGAAGAACGGGCTGAGCAGGGCAGTTTCAGCAGAGCATCTTTGTTTTGGGTTGTTGAGCAGCATGCTGCGGACAGAAACAAACATTATCAACATTATGTAACTGTACATTCTTTGTGACATTTAGATTCGTCAGATATGCTAGGTTTTACATATGATCATTGTTTAGCATCTTCTTCAATTGTGATTTCCAAATGTGTTTATATAAGAAAGGATGATCCTTTATACCTTATTTTTTTACAAAACTAAATATGCCTGAAAGAAATGCCAATGTAAATGTTGTCAAGAGCTTGTTTCCCCTGTAGTGTTTATTAAATATTTATTTTTGGGGGGGGATTTTGAGTGTCTTGTATTTTTGTGCACTTTTCTTGTATTCTAAATGATGTCTGTTTTTTATCCTCCTTTCTTTTATTCCCCTTTTTCTTTTGGTTAAGTCCTTAGTTCAAGGGGAAGTCTGTGGTAGTTTAATAAAATTGTTACAAAATTAATATAGACAAAAGGCGCTTTCACACCGGAGTACTTTTCCCAGGAATAGTTCCGATAGTTCCTGGGATTTTGCGTTCACACCAAAAAGATCTGGAACTACAACTTTTTCTTGTGAACCTTTTCTGATTGGCTGGGCGGATTGCAAACCACGCCCCGTAAAACTCGGAAAAGTTTTGTGAAGCTGCCATTTTATTTGCTCGCATTAGCATTATTAGCATTCGCCCAGCGCACCAACGGAGAGAGACTAACTTATGGCAACACAAAAGAAAACATGGGAGAGGTGGAGATGAGGAGGTGTCGGCGTTCTGGCGATTTACTCGGAAGGCTTCAGTAGAAGCTGCTGGGAGTCCCAGCAGCTTCTACTGAAGCCAGTCCCCAACTCCGGGGACTTCCGGTCGGGGATTTCGGGTGGCAGTATACGCCGTGAAGTTGTTTGCGGCCTGCCAGTAAACCCAAAGCAGAAGAAGAAGAAGTTACGTCAGCGGCTTCATTTGCGTAATCCTCCATCAGGGACTTGTTCCAGTGTGAATGTAATCTACTAGATAGTTCTGGAACTAAAGATTTCCGGGGAACTAAGTTCCGGGAACTATTCCTGGGAAAAGTACTTGGTGTGAAAGCACCTAATGGTGCATTTCCACTACAGCGCGGAGCTCGCTTTAAGCGTGTCGAGCCGTGCGGGGCCCGTTTTTGGTTGCGCTTCCACTTAGCGTAGTACCGGCTAGCGGGTACTATTTCCAGATTTTCTGGCCCCATAAAATCGAGGTTCTTTCCGGGCCAACAAACAGGGCTGAGTATGCTAAACTAGAGAGAGAATCGCTGGCAAGGGGGCTACAACTACAACAAGATGAACATATTTGACCGTGATTTAATTGTAATACACGTTTCAAAATGATGCCGAAGTAACAACATACTGATACCGGTTAGTAAAAACCATGAATTAATGCTTTGACAAGTCTGCAGACAGACGGCAGGCGAAAAACCTTTTAAAATGCGTGTTTTCTAAATGGAGATTGGCTAAGCTAACGCAGTATATGCTCCGACCGTCCACACTCACAACAACGGCCTACAGACATAAATAAACCAGCGACTGTATTCGCCATGACACAGACAGTCTGTGGTTTGTACTTGTTTGACTTCTGTCCAGTTTCTGAACAGATATGAGGAGCTGTGAGCTTGAGTGCTAACAGCTAACGGCTGTGTTGTTTTTCTGTGGCGCTCATTGAAGATGACGTCACGGCTCCGCCTACACTGCGTTACTATAGATACTACCCCAGTTCCTAAACTATAATTGAAATGCGGCATAAAGTGAGCCAGTCCTAACAAGGCATAACGAGGCCTAGCCATACCGAGCGAGGCCGAGCGAGGCCGTGTAGTGGAAATGCGCCATAAGACTGCTTACACAGGAAAGCAGGTCAATACACAGTATAGTTAACAGCACAGTTCACATATGAAAGCAGTGTGAATTCACGGCTGTATGTGTAGAGCGTACCTTTTGATAAGGTCTCTGAGGTGATAGACAGGGATGGCGGGACACACCACACTGTTGCTGGCAACAAGATGGTCGACAATGGAAGCACTGTTATCCTGAAGAAGAGGAAAACAGATTGAAGGAACCAAGGCTTCTGCTTGCTCAGATAATGGCAGAGAGTAAGTGCTGGGTGGGGATGGGGGGGTCACTTAACCCCAATGATCAAAGGTTCAACATAACAAATAATATGTATACATTTAAAGAGGATTTAAAGGGGTCCTATTATAGTCATTTTCAGGTTCATATTTGTATTTAGTTATTTATATGCTCTGACTTCAATTCAAAACATATGGAGCTTTGGCAAACTTCCTTTAATAACACAAAGATTTGTATGGAGAAGAGTTTTGTCATACAGTACCTTCCACTTCTGTGAGCGGACGGTCTCTTTGAGTTTGATTCCGGAGAACATCTCCAACAGGATGATGCCCAGGCCCCACATGTCCACAGCGGGGGTGCAGCCCGAGTCCCCCTCCACCTCCACCCCCGCCTGAGCGAGGCTGTTCTGAAGCTCCGCCTCCGGGGCCCGGTACCCGTCTGTCTGGATGTACTTGACATCCTGAAGGAAGAAGTGAAGCAAGAGGTGAGTTAGAAATTCATATATATCACTATCTTTCAATCATCTTTAATATAGATCCCCCCCCCCCCCCCACACTGCAATGTTAAGAAGACCAACATTTATTATCCTAGCTGCTCCTTAAACTGGCCTCAGACTCCCAGGCACCCACCTGGTTTCCCTCTTTGAAGCTGAGTCCGAAGTCGATGAGCTTAAAGCACTCATCATCGGCGCTCCAGAGGATGTTGCGTGGCTTGAGGTCGGCGTGGACGTAGCCTTCCCTGTGGAGGAAGGCGAGAGCCTCCAGGATGTCTCTGGCACAGTGCTGCACCAGCCACATGGAGTGGCCCTGCTGGGGTCTGACAAAAACATCAAAAATCAAGTTAAACCGAGAGAGCATGCTAAATTAAAGAAAGCTTCACAGTGACTGCACTCACCAGCATAATCTTTCTGAACCTTTTTTGCCATTTTACAATTACCTGAATGCCCCTTGTCACATTTAAAAAACTGAGTTCAATGTCAGTCATAAGTTAATAGTCATTGCAACTAGAAATATAATCGACACTGTAGGGCTGCTCAATTAAATCGTATTTTAATCGCAATTACGATTTTGGCTTGCAACGATTATGAAAACAACATAATCGAAATAAAACGATTATTATTAAAAAAAATATATATTTATTTAAAAAAAAAGAAAATTATATATTTTTGTATTGGTTTTTCAATTGAATTATACTTAAAGTTCAGGGTAATCAACTGTTAAAAACATACTACACATTTTTTTTTCAATAAATGGATGTTTTCAAAGTAAATGGATAATCGTTTTTAATAATCGTGATATCAATTATTGACCCAAATAATCGAGATTATGATTTTTGCCATAATCGAGCAGCCCTACTACTACACTGTATCAAGTTACTCATTTTACTTTTGTATTCGTGTTAAATCAGTTGCAACTGACTAAGAGCTGCTGATACATGGCCAGGTAAAATTATTGTTTTTGTCAATGGAGTCAGGTGGCTTTGAAGAGAGCATTGAAAAGTACTTAAGTTCCCCGTCGGAAAGAGCTGTCTGACGGCGAAGGTTTTCTAAATATAGTGTACTGTAGTGACTGATATTGTTTTTTTAAGTGTGTCTGAAATACATTTTGCTACTGCCCCAATCAGTTAATTGCTTATCTTTCTGCGGTACTCCTGTCTGTATCTCCATACTGGGGGTGTGCCAACCTACATCTACTGTATGTGCTACACTGGCTATGAAGTACCTCAAACAACTCCACTTCAACAAATCAGAATGTATCCCTTTTAATCAATACAGATAAGTGTGCAAATTATAACCCTCAAATCTAAAAATTGTGGAGCCAATCTGATGAACTGGCAACCTGCTACAGTCAGATGAATACTGTATGAGAAGCAGACAAGACTTCACTTACCTTCCACCCTGGGTACCACTGGTCAGCAGATCAGACACACTGACATCCAGGAGCTCCAGCAGCAGACAGCGGGTGGCAACACCCATACAGCTGTGGTTGGTGAACACCCCGTAAAGTGTGACTGAGAGGAGAACAGAGCTGTCAGTGCAAACAGATAGACCTGATGCATGTTTTCATGTAAAAACAACCCTCTTACTGGACAGGACCATTTACTACAGGATAATGATAGTTACTAGGGTTACTACCCTACTCTTTAGAGCTTACAACTGTCAGCCAAAGCAGAACAACAGTGTGACACATTTAAAAGCCTGATGTTACACTGAGTTCAGATCCTGTCATGTGATATCATGTGCCGAATTAAAAAGCCAGACCATAACTATTAGTGAATGGTCTCGCTGTATGTTCTACCAGGTGTATTCCACAGATGACAAGCACGTTTCTATTAAATTGATAGATGTTTTAATAGAATTTGGCCTTTTTGCTCTATGTAAAAGACACATAAGGGTTCAAAACAGTAGCCAGTATCCTAAACCCTGCGATATTCTAGTACAAATAATGGTGTTACCTATGTTTTTATGTCCCTGGATATCTTCCAGCACGGACCTCTCCTTGTGATACCCGTAGTCTCCTCCCTGAGTGTTGGCCTGAAACTCCTTGACAGCGGCGGTTGTGCTGGCTCTGCCCGAGCTGACCTGGTACACCGAGGCCGAGACTCCTTGGCCGAGCCGGGACTGGACGGTCCACAACTCCCCAAAGATCTCGAAAAGCACCGGCTTCATACCCTGGTCGACACTGCCCTGCGCGGGCTTGTTGCTGTCGGGACGCGGTGCTTGCGCCTTTGCGCTGGGCTCTGCGGGGCCGCAGTGAGCCATGGCAGGCGGCGGACAGGAGAGCAGCCGGGCGGCTAGTTGATAGGTGGGAGCAGCTGCAGGAGCATTGGGAACGACCCGGGTTCTGTCAGCGCCACATAAAACTACCAGGACGTGTCAACGACAGCTCGCACACAATTCAGCTACACCCGCAACCTTGTTAAAGCTGAGAACAGAGCGACACCTGGGCATATTCAAGTACTGTCTGTTAACCGAGACTGTCAACATGAATGTATGCTAGACAGGTGACACAAAGTTAGCTAATTTAGTTGCTACACATGCTAAACTAACAAACAAAACACTTCTCTAACGCGCAGGAAAATACTTCCCCCATAATACGGAATCGTATCGAATATAATAACTTAAAAGTGTGTCAGTTTTACCTGGAGACAAGTTTTGCCTAGTAGTAACTCAGGTTGTTGATATTAATCTTAGTTCCGGTTCTACGCTACCTCCTGCAGGTTTTGGTGCATCTTCCCGGCAGCCTGCCCCCTGCCGATGAGGCGTGTCACTACACTACATTTACAGTTCATTGCATGCCATTTTTCCTATTCCATTTCAGGGCAGAGATTAACCACTGTCTTCTATTTAAATCACGCTGCTTTCAGTTGTTGTTTTACCTAAAGGATAAAACAATTGTATAGGTTTTTTTACTTTTTAATGTCATTTTATTCTATTTCTGAAATATATTGGACTGTTTAATTCTGTGCCTTGTGTTTTTGATGCTGCTGCAGCGCAAACATTTCCCAAATTGGGATCCATAAAGTACCTATCTACAGTATCTATCTATCTATCTATCTATCTATCTATCTATCTATCTATCTATCTATCTATCTATCTATCTATCTATCTATCTAATTTCAAACCTTTATTTAATCAGGTGAATCCCATTGAGATCCTCAATCTCTTTTTCAAGGGAGACCTGCTGCAAGTAGGTTCCACATGAAGACAGAAAAACAAAAAGGACATCATACAACATAGATGCAGGAATTTACAATTGACATACCTAACGACATTTACAGGTACCAACAGTATCAGCTTGCATAGTATATATCCGAGCTTTAAAAACATGTAGTGGAACCAAATTGCTCAGTTTCCATTCTTTTTGCATACTGTTCCAAGTTAGAGGAGCTGCACACCTAAAAGCTTTCGCCCCTTATGGCGCTTTTCCACTGCAGGGCCTCGCTCGGCTTAGTACGGTATGGCTAGGTCTCGTTAGGCCTTGTTAGGCCAGGCTCACTTTATGCTGCGTTTCCATTACAGTTTAGGAACTGGGGTAGTATCTATAGTAACGCAGTGTAGGCGGAGCCGTGACGTCATCTTCAATGCGAAACACAAAACCAACATCAGCCGTTAGCTGTTAGCACTCAGAGCTCACAGCTCCTCATATCTGCTCAGAAACTAGACAAAAGTTAAACAAGTACAAACCACAGACTCTCTGTGTCATGGCGAATACAGTCGCTGGTTTATTTATGTCTGTAGGCCGTTGTTGTGAGTGTGGACGGTCGGAGCATATACAACTTTAGCTTAGCCAATCTCCATTCAGAAAACACGCATTTTAAAAGGTTTTTCGCCTGCCGTCTTGTCTGCAGACTTGTCAAAGCATTAATTCATGGTTTTTACTAACCGGTATCAGTATGTTGTTACTTCGGCATCATTTTGAAACGTGTATTACAATTAAATCACGGTAAAATATGTTCATTTTGTTGTAGTTGCCAGCGATTCTCTCACTAGTTTAGCATACTCAGCCCGGTTGTTGGCCCGGAAAGAACCTCGATTTTGGAGAGCCAGAAAACTGTGAAAAAGTACCCGCTAACCGGAACTACGCCTAGTGGAAACGCAACCAAAAACGGGCCGGGCACGGCACGGCACGCTTAAACCGCGCTCCGCTACAGTCTCTTTTTGACAGTCCTAGCACTTGGCACATTTAACAAAACCACAGCATGAGATCTCAGGCAGTAGCTACTTTCAATTTGCCGTGTGATCAGAGAGTAGATGTAAGATGGTAGTTTACCTAACATGGCTTTGTAGATGAACAAGTACCAGTGACTGAGCCTCCGTACAGTTAGGGAAGGCAAACCTGCCCTGGCATACAGGGTACAGTGATGAGTTAATGCTTTATAGTTAGTAACAAATCTCAGTGCACTGTGATTGGCGGCAACTAACTTGATCAGGTCAGGCAGGTGCATTTGTGGCGAGGTTTGAAAATAACTAAGATAGTTGCCGACAACGCCACCTAGGTTAAAAGGAGCCAAGGACTCCTACTTAAAAGGCTACACAGGTTCTTTAAAATCAGGGGTGAGCAGAGTTAAGAACCACAAACAAATAAAGTTGACAACAGTTTATTATGTTAAAAATAGAATAAAAATGCCCCAGCCCAAAGTCTCTCGAGAGGTCTTGCGTCTCGGTCTTGTCCCTCCAGGTAGCCCGAGGACGCGCTCCAAGATCCCCTGAGCGGATAAAAACAATATAATCAAGCCACTGGGTGAGACACACTCAAGTTAAAAAGCCACTCCACACACAAACACTTCACTGCACACTTAAAAGCCTAGGGACTCGATTGTCCAGGGTCCCGTGGTTTTTATACTAAAAGTTTATAAAATAGGGCTAAAAGCAAGGACTAAAATGCTCCAATTAAAAGTGTTAAAAAGGCATTTAAAAGTGAGGGTTAAAAGGCTGAAGATATCCAAAAGGGTACTTAGCTGAGAGAGGGGTGAATCACAATTACACCCCTGTTGCTCCACGTCACTTCCCCTTACTGGAGCCGCTGGTGATAATCCTCCTCACTGCCCGCCTCTGCCCATCACAGACAGTCCGCCTCGTCCTTCCCGGATGTTAGCGTCTCCTGTTTCCTGGCCTTGCTTGTTGCTGCTGATCTCCGTGGGCTCGTTGCTTCCTGTGTTTTCCCGTCTGCTCGTTGCCTCCTGCCTTCTCTGTTGCTCGTGCTGCGCTCTGCTGCTTAAGTCCTGCGCACGCACACCAGTGTTGTAGTCAAGTCACCAATTCACGAATCCAAGTCACTCTCGAGTCACCACTCTTCGAGTCCGAGACCAAGTCCGAGTCACCAAGGGAGAGTCGTAGTCGAGTCCGAGTCCAAGTCTGAGTCACCCAAGGAGTGTCCGAGTCGAGTCTGAGTCATCATTACCTGTGTTCGAGTCCGAGTCCAACTCCGAGTCACCCAAGAAGAGTCCAAGTCAAGTCCGAGTCACAAGTCTTCATGTATTAATCTTCATGGATATATGTGTTGAAATTTAGCTGCTCGTCTACATTGCTTTTATCCTGTCATATGAGTGATTCTACAATTTAGGGTACATTCCATGTCCATTGATGTCCATTGATGATAATTATAATTATTCTAAGTATTTTCTTCAAAAATATCATATTTTGCCTATTATTGGAAAGCATGTTATAATATCACACAAACATTATGTGCATCCTATGCTTTATTTAGCTTGAAATGTGTCATGATGTTCTTAAATTGTCAATTTTTGCTCTGTCCGTTTTTCAGTTGAGGGTGTCTTGGTTTCAAAATAATGAATAAAAACCATTAAAGTAAATAAAAAAAAGTATTCATTTATTTCAAAAGTCTAAATACTAAAGAATAATAACATCTTTTTAATTGATTTCCTCCTTTAAATAATTTAAATATCTTAATATATGAATGTCCGCAAAAGTTCTGTCAACTATGTTACTAACAGAACTCCCCCCTTTAACTCAAAAATGGTTTGTCCCAATACCATGTCACCAGCATCACATGATGCCATGTTCCTCTTTGGCAGACATTTTGAACACACTGTGGTGATTGTCCTCTAATTTTTTACAATATTTTATGTATAATAGCACATGGTCAATTAATATACTCATTGACAATTAACAATGTTACGTACATTGTTATGGTTTACAATTGTTTAATGATTTTAATTCAATTATATGTTCAAATGTGATGTTTACCTGTTCAAGAAAATGACATGTGGTCATCCAAGCAAGGCCTACCATTGAAATGATGGGTCAAAATAGGGAAATTGTCAACTAAGTTACCTGTCAACTAAGTTACCCAGTACTGTAATAACTGTAGTAACTTAGTTGACAGGTAACCTAGTTGACAATTTGTAGGACATGTAGACGTCATTACACATCATTATCAATGGAATTTTGCACTTCTGCCTTGAAATTAACATAGTGCTGATGGTTAATAATGTGTCCAGTCAACTATTTTATTTGCGTCAAATGTTTGACTTTCATTGTCAACTATGTTGCACCTCATTTTTTCAAATTTAAAATATCTAAAATAGTGCTTCTGATATCCTTTATAGTATAATGTATATCTACACAGGTTGGAGTTTTACATGACATCTCTTAAAACTATCAAAATCACCTGTATGGTAGTTTTATAATACAAAATATCCCTAAACTTAATGACAGTGCTGAACATATCACATGAAAAAACAAAACTTTAATACAATTATTTTTTAAACTTTAAAAAATCTTTGGATATATGGTAGAATAGACTCAAGAGCCTTTCAAATGTGATTTTACTTGAAGTGCAGGACTTAATCAAATGATTGTAATGACATCAAGTTTGTCCGTAACATAGTAGTGAAAACATCCTTTCCCTTCAAATAAAATAAAATAAAAAAATGTTTAAGCTTTGCAACTAGTGGATATGTTACACTTAAGCAATAGCTCACGACAGGCCGTGGTATATGCTCATTATATCACAGCTAAGGGGCGTGGTTCGGCCCGACGCGAAGCGGAGGGTCGACAACCCCCTTAGCTGTGATATAATGAGCATATATCACGGCCTGAAGTGAGCTATTGCTTTTATAAAACGGTTACCAAGTGTGGCAATATGAAAGAAAAATACACACTCTAATTTAAATAGTTTTTATTAGTAAATAATGATGTTCAAAATAAAATAGTCCCTCTGTTGCCTTCTGCACGAAACATAGTGCGAGGTGGTTGCTATGCAACAACACTAACAACAGCTAGCGAACATATTAGACAGAGAGCGTTGATCCATTATTTGGCTATTTATTTACATTAATGTGTATGTTGCCGTTTATTGTGCACTCACTGAAAAACTGTCCAGCATCAGTAGCATGGCTTACGTGGTTACTTGTATAGGTTGAGGTTGTTCTAGGCTGTTGCTTGGCGTGGCGAGAATATTGCTCCACTTTCTCCGGTCCCCGAGATTCGGCTTCCAGTAGCTCTGGAGAGAGCTTTCGCACCTGTGGCCACTAACGGTCATAATTTCTCTGCTTTGTTTCAAGACCCGCATCAGAAAGCTTTTGAATGGTGATACTTTTCCAGTTGGTCGACCTGCTCTTCACGTAGCTCTACATGTCGTCGTTTAGGTGCTTTTTGTTCTGGAGATAGGCACTCCTCAATCCACTCCTCCATAGTAAGACACCCCCCCCCCCCCGGAGGTC